TATAAACCGACATGACCCAACTACAGTAAAAATAAAAAATAAATAAAAAAGAAAGAAAGAAAGAAAAACGTTAAATTGAAAAAACAAAACCTAAATTGCCAGACTTCATTACTCGATTCACCCCAATCACCTCTCGCCCCTAATTCATCTCTAGACCAAATTTTTCTTCAATACCAGGCATCTCAAATTTCATCTCTAGACTTGGTTGGAATTAGATTATTTTTTATAAGTTAATTGTTGTTTGGGTCTACTTAATTTGGGGTCCTAGACTCCTAGGCATGCTGATGTTGATTTTGTTCTTTTCCAGCAGAGTACTCTCCGTTCTTGGGGATTGAGAAGGGTACAGTGTTACAAGAAGCTAGAGTTTTCAATGACCCTCAGCTGGATGCCAAGAGATGTTCACGGGTACTTCTTTTTGTTATTTGCAAATCAATTCAACCATGGATTTCATAAGTTTGTATGAAATAATCAACATTTTTACTTTTTTAGGTTATCACGAAGCTCCTTTATCTTCTGAATCAGGGCGAGACATTTACGAAGTTCAGGTTATCATGCTATTACAAATTACACCTCTCTCTTTTTCTGATGCACAGAGTTGAAACACTACTAAATTTGCACAAGTTTTATATTGATAATACTGCACATCTGGCAATAGAATTTAAACCATGGGTATTTTTGTGAATATATCAATGTTAATTTGATTTCTAAAGTTTATCAATTCTTAATGATAAAATTAGATGACCTTAGAGTACTCAGACAAGTTTTATATTCATAATTTTTGCGTAATATGTTGGTAGGTATGGATGTAGGGGAAGAAAGTGGCACTGGCACACAAGCTCAATCAGACTCAAATGCCACAAATTTGCATTCTGGTCTTCCTCTACGTGCACCGTCAACATTAGATAAACAAAAATCTAATAGACTTGCTTCTTATGTTTGGGATCACTTCACTCTATTAGGCTCAAAGGATGATCCAAATGTTAGGTGTAAGTGTAATTATTGTGGAGTAGATTATGCTTGTACTTAGTATTTGCATTACTTTCACAAAGATGATGGTAGTAGAAGGAAGGGTGGACCTCCGTCAAGTTCGGATTAGGATAGTGCATCTGTGTTTGTTAAATTTTTTCAAAATTTCTATAATGTGACTTTGACTTTTAGCGCCTCATTGCATGTTAGTACTTGTGCTTATCTTCATGAATTTTGTAGTCTTGTAATGGAATTGGATGATTGGGGATTAAGTGGCAATATTCTATTAGGTGAAATGGCGACTTACATGAAGAAGAAGTTCGAAAAGTATTGGGGTAAAATGGAAAATGTAAATCAGTTGTTGTTGTTTGCTACTATCCTTGATCAAAGATACAAAATGGATTATGTTGAATACTGTTTTAGCGATCTATACAGGGATGGGGAAGTTGTTAGTATCATGATGAAATCTTTGAAAGTCAATCTAATGCATATTTATGAGTGGTATGTGGCTCATGAAGGTGTTCATGGAAGTAGTCAAATATCTACTGATGAGTCTTTGACTTCTTTCAATACAGATAATGGCAGTTCTTCTTCTATGAGTGATACTTATCTTTCTAGATTTATGAAAAAACAAGCAGTAAAAGATTGTACTGAAATAAAAAATGATGTGG